ACGCCTACACTTGCTTTGTAAAAAGAAAACTCTCTCGCTTAGCAAGGACTCTCACCCATCCACTGTTACGACAAACTTCTCCCTCAAAATAACTCGCTCAGCCCCAAAGCTCGTTCTACGAATATAGAAATAGTGTGTTCTTCTCGCTCAACGCCTATACTTGCTCAGTTAGATATAGTTTTACTCGCTCAACGATTACACTCGCTCAGTTAGATTGCAAAGTTCTGCATAATAACAATTATGTGGAATTTGAGCCTACCAACTTTAAATTTTCTACCTTGAACCTAACTCCCAAAATTCATGGATCCAATTTTGACATTTTAAACTTAAATGGATTTCACTGACCTGTTTATGACTCAACTTACTTACAACCATACTCATTTTGTCATGAAATTCAACTCCTATACACCAAAACACTACTTCAACTCTCACAATTCAACTTTGTCATTCCTAAGCACATTTTCACCCAAACCAACTGCCTAAGTTCTAAATGACCTAAAAACTAGTCTCAAACCTCTATTTTCCCTATCCAACAACTCCTTAAAAGTATTGCCTACCAAAAACCCCTTTTTAACATATAAAACAAGCCTCATATTTGAGCTAAATTCCTACTTCTCAATTTAACATCACCTTTTTGGTTATCCAAAAACTGTTATAAGTTTTAAAAGACCCCAGACCAATTACCAAATATCAGTTATCACTCTAAAACGACTTCTCTATAGTTTCTCTTACTAAAACCCCAAATTTCAGGCCAAAACAACCCATCAACAGTTATCTTTCACTACCTTCGATCCTACATCGATTTTTATACTTAGTTAGACTATAACACAACAACAAGAAACATTCAAACCAACAAAAAATCTCAAACATGACCATTATTACACTTCGGTCAAACATAATTCTTCACAACATAGCATACATAAATTCGTGTATCATAACACGAAAATAAGGACAACAGTAGCTTCTCTTGCCTTACTGGAAGGCTACAACAGTTATACGAAGCAAACTACCACTACCTTAGTTCAGATAACTCTAAAAATACCTACAAACCACAAAATCATGATTAGGATAGGTCCTTAGGACCATTGATCGACAAATAACTAGATAAAAAGATTGAGTGACACATGCGATGAATTCTACATGCATTTGTCTTAAACTATTAATTAAAGAAAATAAGCAAAAACTAACTTACTATATAGGAAAAACTGATTGATAGAAAAACTAACTCACATTTGTGGTCTCTTAAACACCTCCTGATTGTCAAACAAATATCTTAGGAGTTAGAAATCATAAAAAAAAGGAAAGAAAACTCAGAGAATGAGTTTTAAAGAAATGATGAGTATTTTAAACAATGACATGCCTTTATGAAATTTTATTTATATTGTTGAATTATTTTAACATTAAAAACTCAGTTTCATTATTTAAAAACATCAATCAACACTAATATTTTATTTTATAAGTTTTTACAAAACTATTTTCCTATATAAAATATTTAATAAAATGTTTATCATTTGTCTTAATTAGAATTAGACCCAACTTTTTTTATGTTAATATATTAATATTTTTATTTTATAACAATAAAATGAAAATTTTAATAATTATATTTAAATAGATAATATTTTGATATAATTGTGTTATGTGTTAAGTTATGTATAAATATTTTGAATTATAAAATATATAATTAATAATATCAAATCATTGACTATAACAATTATATTAATAATAGTAATAAAATTAAATGTAATATGATTTATTTGAAAAGCCAGAAAGAAATAATAATGTGTAAGTGTGTAATTTAATAATGAATTTATATAGTTTTATTTTGATATTATATAATTGTTTTTGTTATTGATTTTTATTTTCATTGATTATTTAATTAATAGGACATTTTTTACCTTTGTAAAATTTTGGTGATGGTTAAAATAGATAATATACGCATACATTTAAATTACTTTGGAGACCATACATTCCCATCTAGGTTGTTTTCTTCTTTTCAAGGTTTGAAAATGGCTTATGACCCACATTCCTATCACCATCAATAATTAAAAATAAAAATAAAAATTGACATAAATTAAGAGATGAGTTATTTATATTTATTTATCACACATTATAACATTTTCAATTAAACATAATATAACACCTATATTATTATATAAAAAGTATTATATAAAGAGGATTTTCTTGATGTACACACTTTATTTGAAATTTTATTTTTTAATTATTTATTTTAATTAAAATCATTATTTTATTAATTTTATTCTTTAAGTGAATTTTTTATTTATTTGACATTTTTTTTCTTTGCAAAACTTAACTATTTTTTTAAACTAAAATAATTATTTGTAATAAAAAATTATCTGAAAAAAAAACCTAGAATAAATTTTAAAAAATATTTCATTTTTTAATAATTATATTTAAAAAATTATTATTTTTTGTTATCATAACAAAATCAATACAGATACTCCCTATAGATGTCACTAATTCTTATATACAAGAGTTTCACTCTGTGTAACACTTATAATTTTGCATAATCTTCTAAAACTAGCTAAGAATATCAACAAATAATATATAATAAAAAGGTTTAATCATTTCAGACATTCTTATTTCAACATGATCATCTCAAATAGGTCATCGTATTGTAAATGCTCTCAATTAGGTATCTTATTGTGAAAAATTAAATTAATTTAGACATCGTCATTAGTTTCGTACTAACACCGTTAAAGGAGGTGACACGTGTTAGTTCGTAGTTTTTTGAATTGTTTATTTTTTAAAATAAAAAATGCCACGTGTCAAACTGATATTGTGTCACGTGGCAATGACAGTGTGACATGACACAGACAGTGCCACGTGTCATTGTCAAGCCATGTGTTGCATTAGTCTCAATTTGGTCCCAATATTTTTATTGTGTCTCAATTTGATCATGTATATTTATTTTGTCTCAATTTAGTCTTAATTTTAAAAATTAAACTCCTCAAATTCAAACAAAATTTAAACTATATATAAATCTTAACAAATATTTTTATTAAAATTGATATTTTTATTAAGTATTTTTAACAATATTAAGTTTAATTATATTTATATTTACTTAATCATATAAATGTTAATTTTGTTATTTAAATATATCTATAAGGGTTTAAAAAAATAATGACATGACATGGTGGTGTGAATTTTCATAGTGAAAGTTTCTATGCAAAATCATAAAAGAATAAACTATCTTTAATTACGGTTTTTATAAAAACTTTCTCCAATTTTTTATTTAAAAAAAATTATTAATGTGAAATTTCCAAATTATTAATTACAGTGACATAATATGGTGGTGTGAGTTTTCCAAATGATTTAGCTCATTGGAAAAATTATTAATGTGAAATTTTACTTTTTTTAAAATAAAAAATTAGAGAAAATTTTCGTGAAAACGGTAATTAAAGGTAGTTTATTCTTTCATGATTTTCCGTAGAAACTTTCACTATGAAAATTCATACCAGCATATTATGTCACTCTTTTTTTAACCCTTGTATATTTAAATAACATAATTAACATTTATATGATTAAGTAAATATAAATATAATTAAACTTAATCTTGTTAAAAATATTTAATAAAAATATCAATTTTAATAAAAATATTTGTTAAGATTTATATACAAATTAAATTTTATATGAATTTGAAAAGGGACAAAATTGTTTAATTTTTAAAATTAAGACTAAATTGAGACAAAATAAAAATACAGAGATTAAATTGAGATACAATAAAAATACAAGGATCAAATTGAGACTAATGCAATGACATGTGGCCTGACAATGACACGTGACACTGTCAGTGCCATGTCACATTATCATTGCCACGTGACACAATATCAGTTTGACACGTGGGATTTTATTTTATTTTCACCTTCTTTAACGATGTTAGTACATAACTAACGACGAGGTCTAAATTGATTTAATTTTTCACAATAAATGACCATCGAGAGCATTTACAATACGAAAACCTATTTGAGATAATGCTGCAGAAATAAGGATGTCCGAAATGATTAATCCTAACAAAGGTGAGAACCTTGATTTTTAAAACCTATTTTCTCTCAACCATCTTTTTTTCCCCAAATTTCTATCTCTTTCGTACTTTTTTTTTAAGATCAAACATATGGAAGTGATCTACACGAAGAACTCTACTAAATCTTTTGATCAATTTCTCTTTTAGATGAATTCAAAGTATATTCCTTTTCTATATAACAACCTGTTATCTTTCACATGCTTGCTCCATTTTTTTTTTGTTCTTAATGAAACTTTTTGTGGTGGACATGCTAAAGTTGTGTATGGATCACTGTTTGAGTATTTTTATTACATAGATAGAGTGATTTCTATGGGTGAAGCTCTTCAAGTGAAATAAATAGTGGTGGAAATAATGTATAATATTAGAGGAGCTAATTATTTAAGTTATTTTCCATTTGATATTTATAATTGTAGAAATGAAAAACTGAGATAAATTAATATGAATATGAATCTGGATTGAATTGTAGTTGTAATTAATATAATCGAAATTTTGATAACCGAGTCTAAACATATCAATATTTAGTTTAAGATAACAATGAAGTATAATCTTAGGTATATTTTAAAATTCAAAATATTCATTTTTGGAGATCCTTTAATTTATGCAACATTTTAAACAATACTTTAATATTTAACAGGGAAATTAAGGTTTTAAATTAAGAAAATTCTCAATTGAGATCATCTCCACCAGACCATGTTATCTTCTTAAAAAAAGTTTTAAATGTTATATTTTTAAAATTTAACCCTTTGACCGTGTTTTTAAACTCAATTATTATTTTTTAATTATAAAACTATCTAAAAATAAGTAAAAATTATTAAAATAAAATTATAAAAAATATTTATATTTAATTTTATAATAATAATAATAATTAACACAAAATACGCATGTACAGAAATTAAAAATTGTTATTCACCTTTTTTATTTTGGTGGATGTGTACTCACAACAAAACAAGCCGAACGACAGCAATAGAAGTCGTTTTGGTTGAATACCTCCTCCGAAAAAGCCAGAGCAGGGAAAGAAGCAGTTGCGCAAAGTTCCGATCTGAAGACGCAGCACGTAAAGGAAGACGAAGATGACGAAGAAGAAGAAGGTTCCATGGTTCTGGACTTGGGTCATAGGTTCCGTCGTGTTCAGGCTCATTCTCCTCTACTTTCCCAAAAACCTCAACCTCTCTTCTCGCCCTGAAGTCTCCACCCCCCTCACCAGCCTCCGCCGCCGTATACTCTTCTTCTTCTTCTTCTTCCTCAACTACCTTTAATTCCTATATCCATGCTTTCTTATCAACTTCAACTTCTCTTTTCGCAGTGGCCGAGGGTTACTGGTTGAAGCAGTCGTCAGTTTCACCCTATGCTGGTATTTCCCTTTCTAGATTCGTTCATTGGATCAATTTATTCTGTAAGAAATCTCAGGCTCTTGTTCGTGTTTCCAGGATCAATGTACCATGGTTCCCCTTTGTTATTGACACTTCTCGGCCCGCTTACAGTTAAAAGGTACCTGTTCTCAATTGTGTCAGATTTTGTTCCGTTGCTTTATTTAAATGAACTCACTTACTAAGTTTGAAATTCCTATGTTGTAATGACTTCGAATTACCTTGTCGATGCTTCAGAATTGAAGGACAGCCTGATCATCTTTTATGCAGGTAACTTTCTCCGGCTTTTACTGATGAGTATAACTAGTATCTATTCAGTTGTTTATTTCTATTTTCCACAGCTCTTGAATCATACTTGTTGTGATCTTCGTTGCTCAATAATTCTTATCTATACTTGGAATTCTGTTTGCCTTTGAATCTTGTATATGCAGTTCTTTACCCCTGTGTTCACTTATGTTTTCTGCATTCTTTGTTAAACAGTAAATAATCAGCTCATTTCTGGATATAGTTTGGTTTTTGTTATTGCAGATGTGGTTAGTGCAATGCTTATTTGTGCTGCTGGTGAAAAACTCCAGGTGGCATACAGTTCAAGCTTACAATCACTCGGCCTTCGTGATTTGTCAGAGAATTCAGGTTGTTAGCATGTGCTTCCACTATGATCCTTCTGTTCAAGTTTGATATGAGTATGGTTGTATGTGCTTCTCCTATTTTTATTTGTTATTTTTAATTGATTTATAAAACTAGTGTATAAGTTTGAAGATCTTTTTCAGATAAAGATATATTGTACAATCAAAGAGAGAAATTTTGTTCTGTCATGCTGCATTATAAGAAAACTGTAACACGGTACTTGATGAAGATTACTGGTAGTGTTAACAGTAGATATGCAAGGAGTGCCCCTTTGACTCTTGGCTTGCTTTTCTTACCTCTTTTGGGATATGTATTAAATGTGAAAAAGTAAAGGTAGGAAATGAAACACCTTGTCAATCATCACACGTCTGTGTTGTTTCTGTGAACAAACGGATGGTGAAGTCTGTGTCTGTCTAGTGTTTGTATCATAACAAACACTATGCTTCCCTTTCCAGGAAAAAGATAATGTGTTTTACTGAATTGCTGAGAATAAAACAGGGTATTTGCAACTATTGTTGTGAAGGGTAGGTGATGGTCATATTTTAAAATTTAATGTAAAAATTTCCCCTTCTGGTTGTTGATCTTTTTGAAACTTGCAAATTCTTTTTCATCCCATTTGATTGTATCTTTGCTGTTTCCAGAGCGTCTTCCTTCAGGAGATTTTGCTGCTCTTGTATACTTATGGAATCCTTTCACAATAGTTGCATGCGTTGGTCTATCCACATCTGCAATTGAGAATTTGATGGTTGTGTTATCTCTTTATGGAGCATGTTCGCGTAAGCAGCTAATAACCTATGGTTTTAATTTCTGAACTTTTAGATTCTACTGACTCACTCCTGTCATGTTTAATTGGTATTTGTTAGTTGTTTTCTGGTTAAGTTTTATTTGCTTTCTAATATTGAAACATGAATTTTGCTTGGCGTTGATGAAAAGTTCTGTTAGTTCTAGCTTCTTAGGGAAGTTTTGTGGGAATCTCAATTTTTAGCTGAAGGATTACTTTTATGCAAAAGGACTTTGATAAACAGTTTTCCATTTATTTTAATTATATTTCTGTTTTCCTGAAATGTTTCTTGGTCTTATATTGTGTTGAATTGAAATGAATATGTATGTGTGTGTGTGTGTGTATTCTTATTTGAGCAATAAAACCAATAAAACATGGCTACTAAAGGGGGTTGAACTTGTGTACATATAATAGTAATTACTAAGACTGAACGCCCCAAGCTAATTTGAGGAATAATTATTCTTTAGGTATCATTGTTTTTTGTGTTTTCTATCAAATTTTCTGTCTGGTATACCTTTTCTGTAAGTTTGCTGACTATTGAGCCCTGACTATCATTTTTTATGTACAATATTCTTCTTCTTTAACTTTCTTTTTTCATATTTTCTCTCAAATGCATGGGCAATATTTCTTTGTTATTATTGCCATTGAATTTACATGTCTTTGTTCATTTGATATCCACTTGTGTAGAGGTTGCCTATTGCTATATTCAGCTAGCTATTAGATTTTGAAAGTAGTTGTGAGAACTGAGGAAGAAAGATCATTATCACCTTTTACATACGTGGTCTTGTGATCTTCATCTAATATTTTGTGTAATGTTGAAACTGTACTGATGTACAACAGGACTAGCTCCGTTGGCTGCTTTTGGATGGGTCATGGCTACACACTTGTCTCTGTACCCTGCTATCCTTATTATCCCAGTATGATGTTGCTTGAACTTGTTGTATAACATTTTCAGCATAATCTGCAAATCTTTGTTCTCTGTAATTTGCATTTATTAATCTGTAGATACTAATATTATCCTCTTTTCCAGGTGATATTGTTATTGGGATATGGTCCTGATGCTCCTCCTAGGAAATTATTCTGGCAAAGGAATAGGCTTGAAGTTGGCAATTCCTCCTCAAGTGATAGTTATTCAGAAGAGAAAGCAAAGAATCAGCTAAAGGTTGCGAATGTATTCTCATGGAGGCCAGTTGTGTCTTTTCTGTTATGGACTTTGCTTTGGTCATCCTACATCTTAGTCCTTTGTAGTATTTATGTCCAGCAGTATGGCGGTCTACAGGAGTTATTCAAAAGGTTTTGCTTAAATACTTTTACAATTATTCATTTCTGACCACAATTTTGCAAATGACGAAATAAATATGCATATTTGTTCATTATTATAGTAGTTGCAATAATTCGGGTTTAGTGTTAACGGGTCTTCTAAAAAGTAAAAACTGGTGGAGCTTTTCTAAGAGGCAATGAAAAATCCAGAATATCATGTGAAAACACAATTACGATAACTCCAAAATAATTACGGAAGTACTGGGTTTGTAACTGCTGCCATTATCGACTTTTGGAGTCACCGACAACTTTTGAAAAGCATAAGCTACCTTGAGGCCTGATAAGATTTAGAAAATTTTAGGTCCATATTAGTGTTATTTGTTCATGTCATACTCTAGTTAGTTATTGTTGGTGTGAAACTCTGAAGTAAAACCCTTTGGGAAGTCAAATAATTCATTTCCCACTCAAATAATCAAATAATTGATTTTTATTCTTTTATCAAAGAAACTATGCACATTTGTCAACATCATTGTTTAAAAAGTAAATTAACTTAGTGTGCGGAGAATTAATATGTTTACCATGTGTTGAGGGAGGTAGATTTTACTGCATTATTTCTGTTGAAGAACACTGTTTGTGATTATGAAATTTATATTATTTCTTTTTATTCTCTTTTGTTATTATCATTATCAAGAACTGTTGAACTGTCAACTGTCACAATTTCTTGTTTCATGGGAATGACAAGTTTTTCTATATCTTGTAAATAAACTTCTAGGTTCTTTGTGCAGAACCTATGGCTTCATTCTTACAATACAAGATCTGTCTCCAAACATTGGTGTTTTGTGGTATGTGCTATAGGAAGGGAAACTACCACCTTTAGTGTGGACTTGAATATTTTATTCCTGTCATGAACTTTGGCACTTATTTTGTTCTGATGGTATTTGCATTACAGGTACTTCTTTGCAGAAGTTTTCGATTTTTTCAGAAATTTCTTCCTGATAGTATTTCATGGGAATATTCTGTTGATGCTAGCACCATTAGCCTTGCGGCTTAATCACCGGCCATGCTTTCTAGCTTTTGTATACATTGTGATATCTTCTATTTTGAAATCTTATCCTTCAGTAAGTTGTTTATTTTTTTCACAAGTTGCTATTTTTTACCTGGACTCAAATTAGCTCTTGGAATTTAGGCATAACGGTCTCTCTGGGTGTTGCTGAAAATATTTTTATAATTTAGAATGAAAGAGATGCTGTTATCCTGTTAAATGTTAAATGCATGATATTGTATGATTACGTCGTCCAAAATAGAAACTAAGCAAATAAGTATGTTACACACTTAGAACATTCACATATGCACGCTTTGATGGGAAAATATTATCAGTGCAGTTGTAAATATTGAGCTACGAACTTGAACATGGAATGTCCAGCACTGATGTGTTTATTTTGTGTGAATTTTCATCATGCTGGTATCTGATTGATCTGTCATTCATCTATGCATCTATTATATCTCCAATCTACTGAGAGAAGTCCATATATATTATGTGTTTTGTGTGAATTTGCATCATGTTTCAATGTGAATGATCTATATACTATATTGTCTTATCTAACTTGTCAGTACTCAGACATTAAATAAATCCATCACTGATGTGTTTATATTTTGTGATTTTGTGTCATGTTTCAAACTGGACTAATCCCTCTAACCATTTTGTTTTCATTATAACTAGGTTGGTGATTCAGCTCTATATTTGGGTTTACTTGGGTTATTTGCTTATGAACTCAAAGGTTATTTCTCTTTCTTTTTTAACCTTTTATACTGCGCATAATCTCTTTTTGGATAATCAACTTCCTTGATTTTCAGATATGCAGTTTTCATTCTTCTTATTATCTGGTTATGTTGGGGTTTCACTTCTTAGCCCTGTGATGCACAATTTATGGATATGGAGGGTATGGAGTTGTGTTTACCTTCAATTTCAAATAGATTTTTCTGTTGTTATCTTCAGTTCCTCATCTCTGTAAAAATTGACAGGGTACTGGTAATGCAAATTTTTACTTTGGAACTGCAATTGCTTATGCGTGCTTTCAGGTGCGTTATATCTACTCATTGTGATATTCGCTTCTCCTCACCTCATGTTAGTCATTATTGCTTTATCTCTTTTCTTCACAACTTTTTCTAGCCATTAAGTTTATATACAAATGGAGATCTTTGTCAATTTACATCTACCACCCATTTTATCATGATCAGAATTGCATTTAATTTATTCACATTCTTTTCCGAAAATGTTTATCAAATAATGTCAGTTGAAGTTATTTGTACTTTCTTGAATATTTATCACATACTGTGAGCCAAAGATTGATGCTAGCTCATCAACACAAGCCCCAGCCTTGTCTAGGACAAGGGTCCCGTAGTAAAATCTTGACCCTTTTCACTTTCCTCGATGTCCACGCTTCAAAACCAACTTAATTCCATTATGGTGGTGTACTTCATTGCAATTGGCAAGTTGTGTCAAAATTATACCTATGAATTTAACCTACGGACAACCTCAGCTCACTTTTAAAATAACCCCTTTTTATACCTAGCTTCCAAAGACCCCATATAAAGGGATTAAGGTAAAGGCCAAAGTGAGTTTGAGCCATTACAACATAACAGTAAATTTTAAGAAAAAGAAATTAACACATAATGAACTAATATTACTCTTTGCTTGACAAAATGTCATTAGTTTGTCTATTTTAACTTAGAGCATATAATGTAAAATTATTTCACTTAAATTTATAATAAATTTTCACTAATTTATTTTTATGTGAAACAAAGTATTTTCTTTTTCTTTATTTATATCTGTATGCTACATAATAACTAAAATAAAAAGAAGTGGTGAAAAATAAATATGGTTTGATAACTATTATTTTTAGAGTAAACTCTTTATTATTATATATTTTTACAATATTTAATTATTGATATTATAATATATCTACTATTTCATGATTTTTATTGGTGATGAACTTACATAAATTAAGGTAAGCAAAATTAAGCTTTCTCAATTTAAATCAAACAGTATTATTATTTATAAGTTCATTGTATAGTGTGCATTTTTAATCTTTTTATTCAGTTATCAATTATTTTTTGCAAAATTTAAAACATCTTATTATTTTTTTAAAAATATCTCAGAAGACAAAATAATAAAAATTTACAAATATAACAGTAAAAGTTGGCGTAGACATCTTTAAAATTTCGAATTATTGATTTTTGTTTCCCTTGAAATGGGTAATTTTGATCTTTATAAAATAAATTCTCACATTTTGAAAATTGATATGATTTGTAATTTCAAATATTCGTTTTAACCATAAATATTATCCATTTTTAAAATTTTAAACAACCTTGAAATTTATATTAATATTATATCACATAGATATAAAATATCCCTAAAAGAAAAGGTTGGGTTCTCAGCTCACATCATTTCTCTTTTCCAATCACCTGATGAAATCATCTTATTTTTTAATTTATAGTTAGTTTTTTATGTTTTTGTTCCTTGAAGAAACATATGTTTTTCTTCATTGAGATTTTGAGTTTTATAATGAACTTACGTTGGATCATGATATTGATATTAATAATTTAAATTAAATTAAGTTGTGAATGACCAAAACTTGAAGCAAATTAATGTTTTTATTCATGTGTATAAGATTCTTTTTAAACAAATAAAAATTGAAACTTTCATTTTTAAAGGAGTGTTTTTTTTTTTGTTTTAAAAAAAAAAAAGATTAACCCATGGATGAGTTGTTGTCCATAGGACTTTTGTGAACATTTTAGCTCTGCATACTGGGCTATAATAAGTTTCATAATAAAAATTCAACGTTTTGTATGTTATCCTGTAAATTTAAGTATGCGTGTTACTTCGCATATGGCAGATCATTCTGGTGGTAGAGAGTGTCAGCGCCATGCTTAATCATGACAGAACGCTGACAAAGCTATGTACTGCAGCGGTTCAAAATGTCAAATCTTGAGAACTTGAACTATGATTCTATGCATCCATGGTATTCATGAGCTTTTCACGTGAATTAGTCTCGGTTCCAGGAACCATTTTGGTGCTGTCCCCTTCAATTACTTATCAAATAGCTGCATTTATTTGGATGTAAGCATTTTTCACCCTGATTAGTATCTGGACGCAAGACTCTGCAATCTTGATGCTGAATGCCGGTTAAAAAGGAAAAACAATCATGGTTTTGTGTTGGGGTTCTTAGAGCTCTTATGTTCTTGGTGTACCATTCAGTAAGTTTCAATGGCTTTGTTCTTCAAAAGCAACTATAATGCGGCACATGATTTTTTTATTTTTATTTTGTTCTAAATTCATGTTACTATAATGAATGCACTTGTTGGTCGGAATATCTGGAGCGTGTCTATCGGAATGAACCATATGTACTGACACCAACATTTCGAGCATTTCTAACATTATCATCTATCTAGTGTGATATTAGTCAAGGTTTTTTGGTTGCTTCATCTGTGATTATTACAATTCTGTAACACCCCTTTATTGTTGCTTTTCCTCCATTTGAGTCCATTGTCATTGCTGACAATTGCTTGATTCATACGTTGGATGGGCTGTTATACGCACTCCACCTACTCTAATCACTTCAGCCATCAACTTGTGCAGTCCATTTCACATGTTACTTTGACTCAGTCCATGCCTTTCTTTGAACATTCTTACATGTGAAACAAATATAGATATGCATAAAGCAATTGGTCTTGTCGTATGCAAGAACAAACACCCGTAAAACGCGCCTTCTCCCTGCTACATGTAAGGCCTTTCACATGCACAATTTAGAGATAGGTGTTAGACAACAGCGGTCAGCGATGTTTCTGTCCTACTTACCTTTTGGACTGCATCGAGTGAAAAACAATGACTTAGATGTGAAGTGAAACCAAAGAATGTGCTTTCGGCCTTGGCATAAATGGAATTTAAATTACACGACATGCTTCCAAATTTGATGTAATGTTTGCCAGGCAAACCAGTGTGATGTGATTACAAAGAAGACAGCTCCATGTTACACGTTGCAGATAGATGAATTTACCTGGCTAGTGATAGATTGAACTCAAAAATACGAACCAAGAACTTTTTCTAATAAAGATATATTTAAAAGAATTTCTATAAAAAGTATAGCATCTACTGTATGTCAGCGTTAATTATTAAATTGAATGAAATAACAACACATGGTTTTGTCACGGAGTGAATTTCATGACCATGACCTTTCATGCATTGTACTCCTTTTTTCATTTTTCTTAAAGATTTTAGTATCTAAATATTACTCGTTTAAAGAATTAAAACTCCTCGGCAACTTTTTTTGTTATGTTTAAAGTCAAAAGTGTTTCTTTTTTCACTTATTTTGAAAGAAAAAACAAGAATTCTGTCATGGAAAAATAAACACCCATAGTTTGAGTTTTAGTTGGGAATCATTCTATTTAATTAGGCGTGTTGGTGTAACTCGTACAATTATGTATAAGCAGTTCACTTACGCTATGTTTGTTTTCACTGAAATACTAAAGAAAAAGTGAGTGCTTTATGTTTGTTTTTAGTAATATGAGCATATTTGAGAGAGTAGATAGAATTCGCTCATTTCTACTCTTTTAAATTCATCCACAAATCTAAATTCAAGCTTTATAGATACACGTACATAATTTAATATCATAATTTTTTTCCATTGTGTCATTTTTTGGTCTTATTGTGGTTTCCTCAAATCGACTGCTGTTTATTATGGTAATATATGTTTTTCTGAATATAACCAGATAAAACTGAATTAAATATTTTAATTGTTCCATTTCCATTGTCAACCACAACTCCGGAAATGAGTATAATAATATTGTAATCGTAATAATAATATGCACGACAAAACAAAAAGAAACGTTACACTGAATCTCTTATCACAAGATTGGAGATCCTCATATTCTTGATAGCATCCCAATGACCATATATATATAACAACACTATTATTATTGACCCTGTTTATTCAAAGTTTTGTTATGAATTTAAGTGTGAGTCTAAGTCCCACATTTGATATAAATAAGAAAGTAGAACACCTTATAAAGGTGAAAAACCCATTAATCCATTGCCTTAAGGTTTTGGATAAAGAGTAGTGTCGATTTCTTAGATAGTTGGCTAAGATGTTATTGGTGTCTATGTAACCCACGAGTAACCTCCTCCTTACCCAACAAGTTTGAAAACTAATTTTGTTACATGAAAATAATAAATTTTAAAATATTGGATATTGAAAACTAAGATTTATATGGATGTTTAAAATAAGTTTGATTAGTAAAAAAATATCATTCTCCTTGTAATCAAAGATAAATTTTAATTCTTTTTATCACATTAAATAAACTTGTATCTTAATATAAGAAACTTAAATTTTCCACTTCTGAAGAAAATATTTTCTAGGAAAGATAGCTAAAATACATTTTTGGAAAACTTATTTCCAGTTGATATTACTTTCCCAAGATTTGTATTAATTAAGAAAATTTATTTTAACAAATGCTCCTATAAATAAAATTGGTACGTTTGTTAAGAGAAAACAAATTAGTACGTTTACTGTTCAAAGAACATAACAAGCTCAACTACAGCATTATTCAACGACAACTAGTAACAGTTGTTGTAAGTCCCTCTCTCTTAGATCGTATTATATAGAACTGACCGTTATAAATCTCTCTTATTTTACCTTGTACAATTCTCGTTTAAAATACTATTTTTTTTAATAAGAAAAATTTATAAATGATACTCATTTTAAATAAAAGACGAATTTATTTTCTTAAAACTGCGAGCGATGTTCACTTTAATTTGCTTGTGATTCGGTTGGCTTTGACCAAAGCTGGGAGTGTTGGACATAGATTAACGTACGCTTGTGATGAAAATAAAACTTGTTTTTTTAATAATAGAACACTATAGGAGAAATAGACAAGCAAATCCAAAAATGTTTTAATACTCCGCATTATTTATAAGATGTTTGACTGATGTATATGTCTAATATAAAACTTCATTATATCTTGTATTTAATGTTTTGTTAGTTTTAGAAGACTTTTTGATGTTAGTAGCATATTAATGAAGACAAAAATAAGATCATTCTTGTATTTGGTATGTAGTGATTTGAGAAAGATATCGGGGATAAATTTACAATATTATTACCAATTTTTATCTTATTGATTAAATGAGATCTATGGTTATTTTATGCCTTTTTATCATTTTTTTATATGTTTTTTGTTAATATACTATCACGTGGTTTTTGTTCCATCTTTTTCTCTGTAGTAATTAGATGAGTTTTGTAAGGTCGATAATATGAAGGAGGTGAAGTTATTAATTTATTATATATTAATTTAGTATATATATATATATATATATATAATTAATTAACTAATATTAATAATAAATATTTTTTCATATTACTCCTAAGTATCATTTTATATTATTATTAGATAATTTTTATTTTTTATTTATTAAAACTGTTTCTAATCTATCATAATCAAATCTTTTATAAACTTTTATAAATTTTGTTTTCAAATTCATTCTTAATTATCTTCAAATTCTTTAAAAATAATAATAAAATTTACTTTTAAATCTACTCAAATTTATCGATTCTTCTTCTTATTCTTTCTCGCTTGTAAATACTGCCCTAAAGTATAATATTAGTTTATAAAATATGTAAACGCTGTGAATCCATTCCACGGCATTGTTGGTTTTGTAGTACTTAAATGCTTATGGTACTTTTGTTTACCTATTTCAATCAAACAATTTATATATATATAAATTTTTTCGGCAACTTTTATATAGTTAAAGGTAAAAAACTGATTAAGTGGTAGGGGAATGTAGTCCTACCAATAATGATATGACCTAGAGCTGCACTATAATTTTAAATTTTCTTTATATTTTTATTATATTTTTTATTAGAAGGTTAGGTTGATTGGTCATATATGTAAAGATAAAAAGAAAAATTATAAAGTGAATTATTTATATTTCTCATGATGAAACTCAATAAATGTATAATGGAAATTAAAATTATTATTGGTGGGGTTAATTATTTATAGATATTAAAGATTATTTAGTGAGAATTAATGAATTAATATGGAAGTCAGATACTCTTGTCTAATTTATTTTATATAAAATTACGTATCTTATAATATAGTGATATAATTCTCAAATTACGAAGTTTTGAGAACTCAAATTTAATCTTATTATTTAATTTTAATTTATGGCGATCGATATTAATATTTATTATTGAATAATATACCTTTTCTTTTAACTGTGAGGCTAGTAATTCCAAACCGAATATTAAAACAATACTTCTTTCTTTTTCACATAAGAAAAACTCTAACATCATACTAGTTTTAAACTTAAAATTAATTAATATTAAACATAGTTATCCATCACCTTTTTTTTATTACTTCATCGTTTTACAGTAAACCAGGTTTAAAAGAGAAAAAGTTTTATTGGATAAATCATGAAAATATTTTATTATATTTATGAACAAATCTTTATCCCTAAATTAACGAGTTATTTGATTAAAACTTGATTTTCCCCTTTTGATTTCTTTGTAATATCGAAGTAGGTATTTTGAGCACGTTGATTGATTTTAAGACTCACTAAACATGTTTAAAATTGTAACAATACGTTTGGATAGGTGGTGGACGATGTTGAAATCGTGGTGTGTCACCACGATTTCTCTAACAACTGATATATTAACTATATATAAGATTCCATTTGATAAGTCATTTGAGTTCATTTTAAACCCAGTAATATATCGTATTTTTAACAATAATATATAGCACCAATCAAAGAATGCCATTATACATGGATGAACAAGTTTTCATTTCTAATATGTTTTTAAATCTTTAAATACGGAAGAGGTTTATTTTCTATTCGTTGAATTCAAGATGATTTATCAAACTGGTAATCTTGTCATATTAGACTGTTATTTTTGTGTCGATGGACCGTTGTTGACAGAAGAAACGATTAATAAATGAAAGCAAAGGAAGATGTTTGAATAGTGTGATTAAAATATAGTAATGATGTAGGTATTGAAGCAGCATGTAAGAAAGAAATCTGCGTTTCAGACGTTGCAGTTTATTGTTTAGAATGGCGATGCAAGGTAGAAGGTAAAAGTTAATTTATATTATGATAAAATGTTACGAAATGTGCATGAAGGGTAAAGAAAAGTTTTTGTTTGTTTGTTTATTACTGGAAGAGAAAGAGATTGGAGCAGAAGAGAAGAGAAGGAAAGAGAAGGAGGGGCAAAGATTGTTTGGCAGATACGATGAGGGGTTAAAACGATGATTGTTGCGTGCTTCTTTCTCCCTTGGTACCAACACCGACCTTCCTCCTGTCAACTTTACGTCACTCACGTGATCCACCATACCATACCACTCTCTTCCCTTTCTTCCTGCCTACCTACCACCTACTGCTTCCTTCTTAGACTACCAATCAATAACCTTTTTCTCTTCCTACTCATTTTATG